TAACATCAAATGATGAGTAGTTTGTGGATAATGAAGTAAATATAACACCATCTGGATTATGAAAAGAAGATTTGGATCTTAATTTCTTTGATAATGCTTAAAACAAAGCATCTGCATCCACCATTTCTTTAATTTGAAATATTACTTTCATTTTTATGTTGATGACAAACAATTAGGAAAGAGTAAGATGACTGAAATAGATAAAGAAGTATATTGGAAGGCATTGGACTCCACAAGTGATAAGGTGGGAGAGGGAGCAATTCTTCATAGCAATGATTCAAATGAAGACCATCTCAATGATGACAGCAAAGATGACTTTTGAGTTGTTACTATACAATTACTATTTTCTTTAAGAATTAAATATGGATGAGTACAGACTTGAGAAAAAAAAAAAGAATTTGGGGTTGAATAATATTTTATATGATATGTTTATGTAATTACTATATTTTATATTATTTTGATATTTTAATATTTGAATTTAAATTCTATTTTATACAATTTATCCTTTGTCACTTTACGTCTTATATAATTTTTTGTTTTATATGCATGACAAATTATTTCTTATGACATATTTTAATATATTGTTTGGTTATTGTAAATAAAAAAAAAACACTTTTAATATTCATATTGATTTTATGCAATTTTTTAGTTTTGAGGATTACGCTTCAAAACGCATAAGGCATATGCCTATCCTCGCGGATCAAAAATGCCTCAATTCACAATTGTGCAAATTGATTTAGCATTAAAACATTCAATAGATACTTTATCAATTGGATGCACTTCATTGGAATAACTAAGATGACCACTTATTGATTAACTCAAGCCGTAACAAAAAATTGATGCAGAAAAAAATGAAAACACATTTAGAATTAGGCTTCGCTTGGGATAGCTTTCTTATTGTTTCTTAAAGCAGCTTTCTAATACAAAAATTTAAATTTTTGTACTTAAAAACTGCTTTAAAAAGTAGTAAGAAAGCCGTCCCAAATGAGGCCTTATGAGCTCTTAAAAAAGACAAAAAAAACTGCCAAGAACTAATAGGAGTAAGGAAATCCAACAGAAACGTAAGGCTAATGGCATTGCGTCCAAAGGCCAGTAAACAAAGTGTGTGCAACAATCTAACTTAAATTTATATCTTATTTTTAATCCCAATCAAAGAAAAGGATGCATGCGAGAAAAAGCCATCAATATTGGGAAAAAAGGGACATTTGATAGCAATCACAGAAAAAAGAAACAACGACACAAAATATTTGGGTGATGGCAATCAAAGCAAAATCAACGGCAAAAGATAAAAAGTACTCTGAGCAATGACTAAGGATATCGAAGCCTCTAATATTGCTCTTGCAGAGAGGAAGAAATAAAGTAGTCAATTGAAGAGGCATTTTTCAATCTCTCTCATGTAGAAGAAATTCAATAGCGTGAGTTCATGGAGGCGAGGTATATATATATATTCCTTAAGAGTTAAGTAGGGAATCATGAAAAAGCACACACATTTTCATTTATTTGATAAATTTCATTTTCTATTCTTTGTGTTCAAATATAAGGTGATTCGTCTATCACAAGTAAGCATCCACGTGAATGGTTTTAAGCCCATTTTGAAAGCCTTTAGCTTTCATATACAATACATAGCTACCAGTTCTACTGTGCTAGAAGACTTAAAACAGTAGTCAATAATAAGTCCAGTCCTAAAATTCATAGCATCCATGCCTGAATTTTTTTTCTTTTTAAATAAGAAACATAACTGTATGCCAGCCAAGTTTTTTCAGTTTCTGTAAAACCAGAAGCCAACATGGGTAATGTATAACTTAAAAGCTATGCTACCTAAAGCATCAGAAGAGCACAGCATATTTCGCTCTAATTGATTAAATTAAAAAAAATGGATGAAACAAAAAAAGAACTTACAATCATAACCAAAAATGAAGTTGAGATAGGTTAACTGTTAGACCAGTCCACTGGACCGGTCCAGCCGGTCCGCACGGGACCGGCATTTCGCAAACAGGCGGGATCTCCGCCTCCTGTGGAGATCGAGCGGCCCGACCGCCTAAGCGGAGCTTTTTAGGAAGCTTTTTTGAGGATTTTGAGAGGGAAATTTGAATGTAGGGATTGTTTAGGGATTTGTTTTTGATTTGTATGCATTAAATACTTTGTTTTCCTAGGGTTATGGTATCTTGAATTTGGCTGAAATTTGAGATCTCTCAGATTTAGGTTTTCTTTGGGCTCTAGCGGCGTCTATAGATTTGGGAGAGATCCATCCTCCTCTCGAATTGAGGATCAAGTGTATCTTGCTATTTTCCTTGTTCCTTTCATCAAATAATACAAGTTATCTACTGTTTTTGTGATTTTGTGTGGACTTTTGTGAAGATTTCTTTCTGTTTTCTGAAGATTGATAGGAAATAATTGAGATCTACAAGTGTTTCCTATCAAATTGGTATCAGAGCAAGTCTTGGGACCAGTGGAGGCTTTTTTCAGCAAATACTAGCAGCAATTTTTTGCCCGGAAAAGGAGGAAGTTGCTGTTTTTTTACTCCAAAATCCAAATTTTGTGAATCTACAAACTCCGGATTATAATGTCGGCCAAGAAAGTTGATACTTTGGAGGAGAGACTCGAAGGAGAGATGAATCACATCAAAGAAACCGTGAACGTAAGAATTTCTTCCATGGAAGGGCAGGTGGCCGATCTCAAGGATATGATGAAAAAAATGTTGGAGCTTCAAGCACAAATGGCAGCATTCGAAGCGAAGGGCCCATAAGCGAAGAACACCAATTCTGAAATCCGTAAGGAGGGAGAAGAGGTGGAAATCCTGAAAGTTGGAAGAAGAAGACCCTATATGGAGCCTTTCCATAGGGAGGAAAGAGGAGATCGACATGGGGAAAGGTATGGATATGGGGCAGCGGAGCAAAGAGGGGCTGATTGGGAACGCCATGAGGGGTTTTACGGCCGTCGGGGTGCTGATTTTGAAGGAAGAAGAAGGGCATTCGAAGGGTGTTTGGGCTATGGTAGGGCAAGGGAAGACCGGGAGACGTGGGGTGGGCCGAGCACTTGGGAGAGGGTAAGCTATGGAGGAATAAGGAGGAATGGTGGAGATAGGAAGGTGAGGAAGTTGAAGATGCCTATCATTGATGGGGAGGATGCGTATGGGTGGATCTATAAGGTGGAGAGGTACTTTGCCGTTAATGGGCTAATAGAGGAGGAGAAACTGACAGTAGCAGGCCTATGCTTGGAGGGGAAGGCACTGTCATGGTACCAGTGGAGAGACCAGAGGAGACCTATCAGGAACTGGAGGGAATTCAAGAACTGCATAATAAAACGTTTCCAAACTGACCAGGGAGGAAATTTCTATGAGCAGTTCTTTGCTCTGACATAGGAGGGATCAATAATAAACTACCACGAGCAGTTTGAGCACCTAGCCAGTAGGGTGGAGCGATTATCAAATACGGTATTGGAGGAAAACTTCATGAAGGGGTTGAAGGCAGATATCCGAGCAGCAGTGAAGGTTTTGATGCCTCATGTCTTAGGGGAGGCCATGAAGTCGGCCCAGCTTGTGGAAAATCAGAAGAATCTAGAGAAGGGAGCTATGAGCAATAGCTCAGGAGGCTCTTATAGGACGACGACCAATCTTCTAGCACCCAAGGGGCCTGCATCAGGCAACATTAATGAGACCACCAGAGAGAAGCCAGTAGGAGGGTGTGGGGAAAATTTAAAGAGACTGACAGAGAAGGAGATGCAAGAGAGGAGGGCAAAGGGGTTGTGTTTCAGGTGCGAGAAGTATACGCCAGGGCATCGATGCAAGGACCGAACTCTTCATGTTCTCACTGTCTGCGATGACAAGGAAACAAAGGAGGGAGGTGAGGAGGAGATGGAGGAGAAGCTACACTTGGATTTGACTGAGGTTTCCTTGAACTCAGTGGTAGGATTCATTACGAATCATACCATGAAGGTGAAGGGGCAGATAGAGGGCAGGGAGGTGGTGGTGCTAATTGATAGTGGGGCTACCCACAATTTCATTTCCACTCAGGTCGTTGACCAATTGGGAGTGAAGCTGGTGGACACCGATTGTTATGGAGTGATGATGGGTATGGGGAAGGTGGAGAAAGGTTAGGGAATCTATAAAGGAGTGATGTTGACCATCCAGGAGATTCAAGTAAGGGAGAACTTTCTCCCATTAGAGTTATGAAGTACTGATGTCATCCTAGATTTGAACTGGTTGCAAACCTTAGGAGAAACCAAGGACAATTGGGGAGCACTCACGATGGAATTAATGGTGGATGGGAGAAAAGTTGTTATAAGAGGAGATGCAGGGCTATCCAAAGCCATGGTATCACTTAAGACTATGGTTAGGGGCCTACAAAAGGTGGGAGAAGATTTTTTGGTGGGACTACATAAGCTGGATGTGATCATTATGGAGGAGGGAGGGAATGTTTCTCTTTAAGTGCAACGCTTGAGTCAGCAATTTGATAAGGATTTTCAGGCACATCAATGATGTCCACCTCCAAGGGAACACGAGTATATCTCCACCTTGAGGACAAGGTGGATCTTTGGCAGGAGAATATTGTTAGACCGGTCCAGCCGGTTCGCACGGGACCGGCATTTCGCAAACAGGCGGGATCTCCGTCTCCTGCGGAGATCGAACGGCCCGACCGCTCAAGCGGAGCTTTTTAGGAAGCTTTTTTGAGGGTTTTGAGAGGGAAATTTGAATGTAGGGACTGTTTAGGGATTTCCTTTTGATTTGTATGCATTAAATACTTTGTTTTCCTAGGGTTAGGGCATCTTGAATTTGACTAAAATTTGAGATCTCTTAGATTTAGGTTTTCTTTGGGCTCTAGCGGCGTCTAGAGATTTGGGAGAGATCGATCCTCCTCTCGAATTGAGGATCATGTGTATCTTGCTATTTTCCGTGTTCCTTTCATCAAATAATACAAATTATCTACTGTTTTTGTGATTTTGTGCCGATTATTGGGGAGAAAGTTCGTTGTTTTCCGAATATTGGAAAATAAGAAAAGAGCTGAGAGATTTTTAACTGTAGGAAATACCATTCTGAAATTAAAACTTACATGCATATTTGTCGCAGTCATGGGCAAGTAACCAAAATGGCCGAGCATTGAGGCTTCTTATCTCAGATAGAATTCACTTATTTGTAGATTCATGATCTCTCTTTTCAAGCCTCAAAATTTTTCACCAAAGTAAAGAATATACATCCATATTCTTCAGTTCATTTAGTTCTAGTGTTATATAGTCATCCTCCGTATAAGCGGCAACAATTTAGGAGAAAAATGGCCTGAAGATCTAATCCAAGAACTCTTGGAGCAAGACTCTCCCTGTTCATCATAAAGAATAGTGTAGTTATTGCTGCTAACATTTCTGAAGTAGCAGCCATCAGAGCTTTCATATCTGTACACTTGCTGAGTACTCGCCACACCACCAGTTACCAGGTTTCCCTTCACATGTATAACACCCTCACCAGTTTGCAAATTCCTCAGAGTGCTAAGAGATAGGCCGGACTGTTCTCCAAAGTACTTCCACTCCCCATTAAATCCCAGTGTAACATTCGCAATGGACAAGTAGCTATCATCAACCTGGTCGGAAGTTCCTGTGTATAGATACAAAGGAAAGCTCTGAAAAACCTGCTCAGAGTACAAGACTGAAGAAGGATCCTTTGCATAAATTCCATGATTATAGCTTATGCTCTGGTTCACTTCCTGAATGCTACCGTTGCCAGCAAACTTCATCTTATTCCTAAAATCTAACTTTTGGAAGAAATGAGTAGTGATATTTCCATAGGAGGACTTCACCCACCCAATTGCAGAAATCTTTCGCTTTGCACTGGTGTCAAAATTCCCATCAAGACCCTTAAAATCAGAGATCAAGGAAGGGGTAAACCCTAGAGCTTCATACTCAATCAAACTTCCTTCAGTTAAATAACTCCTGCTGTCTAACCAAATATGCAAATTCGCGTCAATGAACCAGACATCCAACGCATCAGTAACCCCAAACTGAAAAGAATGCTTGTTTCCATCTATAATCTTTCCCAAAAATGGAGTGATTTCTATATCATATGATGGCAGATCGAAAGAACCAATGGCGGAAATCGGTCTCCAAAGTAGAGGATTAATTCCTCCAGTGTAAATAACAGTAAATGGCCAGATAGATCCCACTAAATAGCCATCTAAACTCACAGTCACCTCCCTAAAAGCGCCATTCCCAGCAATTCCAGTAAGATTATTTTCCGATATATAAGAATTCGGAGGATTAGTGTACCAGAACTCATCATTAGAATGGAACGAAACATATACCTCAATCAAACCTCTATAAGCGTTGCTTGGTACTGCAAGCTCCTTTCCCTGCAAATCCCTCGAGTTCTGGATCTGAAACCACAACCCATCGTTCAAGGGTAGGGTTTTGGATATTGGAATGATTAGATCAGCGGGGGAATCAAACGCCGAAGAAGCTGTCCGGTCGTGATCGAAGTAGAAATGGAACGAGATGTTGACGTGGTAGACGCCGGTGTATGTTTGGTCAACGATGTTGCCGAGATAGACGGCAAGTGTTTGGGTTTTTGAGAAAAGAGATGCATAGCGAGTGACGTCTTTACGGACGGACCAAAGGATTCCGGTGGGCCGAGGCTCGGCTGTGCAGCTGCGGAGGATCTCGACGCCGGCGAGCCAAACGCCAAAGATGCGATCGAATTGACGACCGAAGCAGGAGGCAGACCATTCGAGGACGATGAGGGAAGGGGAGAAATGAAAGGGGCAGTGAGAGGGAGGGGAATAGGTGGAGGTAACTGGGGGTGAGTTGTAGGTATAAGCGAAGGAGTGTTGGAGGATTAGGATTGAGCAAGGCTTGGACTTTGTGGCGGGGATGGGTCGCCGGACTTCGAAAAATGTTGTGGGAGATGGTGAAGGGGAGGAATGGAAGACGGTGGAGGGTAGGTCGTCGGAGACGATGAGGTCACCTCGAGGATGGAGAGATGAGGAGGAAGATGGAATGGGGAGCAAGACGAGGAGGAAAGAAACGAGAATGGGTACAAAGTTGTCCATTAGAGGACGGTGAGAGCAATAGAGAAATGTCTAAATTTTTCATTTTGTTTACTTTGTTTAGCGGTTGGAGGGAGGAGAATCATAAGATAATTCGGGACCCGAAATTAATATGTGAAATTGTTTAAATTAACCTACCAAAATATCATCAGCCTTCTCCAACTCGTACTTTATCCCACTTTATTTATTTATTTATTTATATTAAGAGATTCGAAGTGATGGTGAAATAGATGGGGATATTATCAACAAAATTCAAGTTGGATGGTTGAAGTGGAGGAACGCATCGGGCTTGTTGGCAATAGAAAAGTCCCCCTCAAACTTAAGGGGATGTTCTATAAGATGGTGGTGAGACATGCAATGCTTTATGGTGCTTAATGTTGGCCATTAAAAGAGAAGCATAATATTAAGTTAAGTGTTTTAGAGAAGAGAATGCTTAGGTGGATGAGTGGCTTTACCCTTAGAGATAGGATACAAAATGAGCATATACATGAAAAAGTTTGAGTAGCTCCAGTGGAAGATAAGATTAGAGAGAGTCACCTTAGATGGTTTGGTCACATGAAATGAAGGCCTTTCGATGACTCGGTTTGGAAAGTTGAGGTATTAGATTTGACTTATGTTAAGAAATGTAGAGTTGGACCTAAAAAGACTTGGTTAGAAAATATTTGAAATGATCTCTCTTTATTAGATTTAAATGAGAATTTGAATTTTAACATGACACAATGGTGAAGAAGGATTCAAGTAGCCGACTGTTGACCTCATTTTTCTATGAGGTCACTTGGAGCAATCTTGACCTTAAATCAATTTAATCTCCAAACCAATTCAAACTCTAGGATCCTACTAGAATTCCGACCATAGGATCTATTCTAGGTCCTAGGATCCTTGTAGACTCTAGACCTTAGGATCTACCTAGACCCTAGATCAGTCTAGAACTTAGGATCTACATAGATCTTAGATCAATCCATACTTTCAAACCCAAAATCCAAGGCTAAAGGCTCCACCCTGAAAGCCTTATCAAGGATTTTTTTTAAACACTTCAAAATACAATCAAATGACATCCGATTCAGAGTTTATCACTTGCAAAGTGATAAGAAATATCTCTATAGATAACCCTCCAAATTTGAGCCCATTCTGAGGTCCCAAACCTCAGAAATTAAATTGAAATCCAAAGGCTGTAAAAACCTTCAAATATTTACACCCTATGCCACTGGACCTGCCACCCAATGGATTTTGACCTTGGAGTTTCTATAAAGCCTCAAATCACTTCCAGACACTTGATTATGACCTATTGAACGTTAAACTATACTTTGGTGGACCCATTTTAACCCCTAGTTAACCGGGGGTCAAAATGACCAAATTACCCCTTAAGGGTTCAAATATCAATTTCAAATCAAATGACCTCCAAATTGTTTATAACCACTTCCAATAATTTTTTAATATCAAACCCAATATGTTAAGTTTGGACCCACCCCCTGGGTCAACCTGGTTGACCCAGTCAACCTAGGTTGACTCAAAGGCCCCTTAAGGCCTTAATGGGTCACGTCAACCCATTTGACATATCTAACCCATTCAAGCTCTCAAATCCATATCAAAACTTAAATCAAATCAATTCAAACTTATTTGAAGTCAAATCACACCTTGGTTTAACTTGGTCAAACCTTACTTTCTATGTGCTCATGAATTTCAAGTCCAATCCTATTGCTTGGGATTCATCAAAACCATTTCATTAGGTGCCTTGAATACACCTTAGTTCATGTGGAGTTAAGTCATGATCAAATTGAGCAAATCAATCCATTTTGACTTAGTCGAACCATTTGAAATCTCTAACCTTCCTTCAAACCTTAGATCCATAGCTTCATATTCCTTCCAAAATACTTTAATCTTTCCTTGGTGCCACTTAGCTGCCACCTCAACAATATTTGACCTATTTACTAGTCAAAGCAGTCAACAAATGGTTAAAGGACCTTCCAACTGTTAGGAAAGTTGCTATTTGCATGTTTTACATTCTTGCAACTTGTATTATTTTGATGATTCCAAATATTATTGTTTTATGTGTAGTTATCTCCTAACACTTTTTAGAAGATTTGTTTTTGCTCTTGTGTGTACTAATATTTCAGGAAAATCAAACTCCAGACTACGAAGACTTCAAATCAAATTCAGCATGAGATACTTTGTGAAATTGAAGCTTGTACTTTTTATTTGAATTAAATTTAAGAGGGAGTGATTGTAATTGAGTGAATAAATTTACACAAAGTTAAAGGAGATATTGAAAAAGTTTTTATACTGATCGTACGGGACGAACATTATTCGTACCAAAATCAAAATGAATGTGCAACAAAGTTGCAAATGTGAAAAAGAGGCACAAAATAAGCCCAATAAAGAAAGATGCACAAAAATGTGCTACCTATATGAAAAAGATGCACAAAAATGTGCCACCTATATGAAAAAGATGCGCAAAGCGCCACTTGTGGTGATTTTTTTCTTTCCAGATTCTTTTTAGTCTATTAATTCAAGTAGATCTAATGTTCATTTATATTTCAATTGATTTTTGGAATATGCAATTTTTTACTCATCTTTATTACAATGATTTTTCATATCATAAATGTCTAAATTGAATCATGTTTTTCATAAATTCTTACTTATTACAATGTTATATCAATTTTTTAAATTCTATGAAATTCTATGATTTGACTAATGTTCTTAATTCTTAGTTGCATTCTTATGTCAATCACTTTTTTAGATTAAATTTACATATGAATTTTTCATAAGATTTTCTACAATACTAGTCTATTTTTTCTTCACTTTTTGTTGTTGTCAAAAAGGGGGAGAGATTATTGTTTGTATTGTTTAGGGGGAGAATTTTTTTTTTTAAAATTTTGTGTGTGTCTTGTAATGTTTTTTGTGTATTGTTTTTGTGTATGTGTGTATGTAAAATTTTAAAACAAAAATTCTTTTTTTAAAATGCCTCCTTATTTTAATGTATTCATCTATTCAGGGGGAGTTTAGGAGATTTTAAAATGGTTTGAAATTTTACTAACAATAATTGTTTTGCCATCATCAAAAAGGGGGAGATTGTTAGGAAAGTTGCTATTTGCATGTTTTACATTCTTGCAACTTGTATTATTTTGATGATTCCAAATATTATTGTTTTATGTGTAGTTATCTCCTAACACTTTTTGGAAGATTTGTTTTTGCTCTTGTGTGTACTAATATTTCAGGAAAATCAAACTCCAGACTACGAAGACTTCAAATCAAATTCAGCATGAGATACTTTATGAAATTGAAGCTTGTACTTTTTATTTGAATTAAATTTGAGAGGGAGTGATTGTAATTGAGTGAATAAATTTACACAAACTTAAAGGAGATCTTGAAAAAGTTTTTGTATTGATCGTACGGGACGAACATTGTTCGTACGGGACGATCAGATCAGTTATCTCCTTGTAAGAGCAATGGAACGGACAAGAACTGAACTGGAAATATTTTCTAAGTCCTAATCGTCCAGACGAAATCATTTTCGTCCCAAGACGAGTTTCTTTCTGCAAAAATTTCGTCCAGACGAAGTACAGTTCGTCCAGGACGATGGGAACCGACTATGGCAGTTTCTGGCAGTTTTCGGAACCGACTTTTGATATAACTGTTCGTCCAGACGAAATATTTTTGTCCCGGGACGAACCAATTTCGTCCAGGACGAAATTGGTTCGTACAGATGAACAAAATTTCGTACGGGACGATCCAGTGCGCAGAAAAACTTGTTTTGGGCAGTTTTTTGGACGTTTTTTCTTCTCCTTTCTATATAAGGAGTCCTAGAAACTATTACAAATGCCTTTGGAGTTGTTTTCTCTTGAGAGGGATCATTGAGAGGGAGAAGATCCTTGGAGGGGATTTCAAGGGAGTGTGGAGGGGATATTCACACGGTTGCTCCGGCGAAGGCTCTCAAGTGAAGTTCAACAACATCGGTCCGGTTCTCTGCCGACACTTGGAGAAGTGTAAAAGGACGACAAAGTGTATCTTTGACAGTCATTGTGTCTTCGTTCTTGTGGAGAAAACTTGAAGAGAGAACTTGAAAGGGAGAGAGGAAAGGGTGGAGTTTGAGAGGGAGAAGATCCTTGAAGGGGATTTCAAGGGAGTGTGAAGGGGATATTCACACAGTTGCTCCGGCGAACTTGCACCTCATTACCATCGGATTCAAGGGTCGTCTTGAGGGAAGTTTTGGCAAGAAGAAGATCTCTTTGGTGTTAAAGAACCCGGCTACTCCGCCGCACCGGGGAAGGTGAAAGTGATTTTGTACAGGCTTCTCCGCCTTGCTGTGGGAGCAAAAGGAGAGTCACTTTGTGGTATTAGTGCAATACTCAGAGGGTGCCTCTGGGGAGTGGATGTAGGTCAAGGTTTGACCGAACCACTATAAATCTGGTGTGTTCTTTCTTATTTTTTATTCCGCATTTAATTTCATTGCAAGTTGTTTACTCTGGTTGAAAAGTTTATTTTAAACTTTAATTTTAACTTGCATCAATAATTCAAAAGGTTTTCTAAAATTCCAAGAGTTGAAGTTACATTTTTTAAATTGCCAATTCACCCCCCCTCTTGGTTAGCCTTGGGACATTCACTTAGGCTTAACATCCTAATTACTAGATCCAACAAGTGGTATCAGAGCTTTGTTTCAAAATCATAAGTTTAGACTACTTTTTGAAAAACGAATATGGCTGATTTTAGAAACCATAAATTGTTAGATGGATGTTCGATTGTTAGACCACCTTTATTTGAAAGTATTTCTTTTGATTTTTGGAAAATTCGAATGTCTACTTTCTTGCAATCAATAGATTATCGCATGTGGCATATGATTCAAAGTGGTTATTCTGTACCGTCACGTATTATAGATGGAATCAAAACTGATATCCCTTTTTCTGAATGGAGTAGAGTAGAACAAATTTATGCACAATTAAATGCTAAATGTATGAATTGTTTGTTCTGTGCTTTAAATTCTGAAGATTATATGAGAGTCTCTACATGTACTACAGGTAAGGAAATTTGGGACAGTTTATGCATTACATATGAAGGTACTAGTGAAGTCAAGCAATCTAAGTT